GACAAACCAGCGGGAGGTCGAGATCCGAGTAAGCATTGTGATTTTCACAATGACATTGGGCACAACACTGAGGATTGTGTCGCGCTGCAGAAAGAGGTGGCATACTTGCTGAGGAATGGCTATCTGACAGAAATCATTTTTAAACATACCAAATCGCTTCTGGGACGGAATGTCAAAGCGTCACAAAATGAACAGAGACCTCCTTCACCGTCAGCTCCTTGTAAGGTAATTAATTTCATTAATGGTGGATCTGACTTATGTGGACTAACATACTCCGCAGCAAAGAGACATGCTCGGGATTACTCCCGAGACAAGTTATTGCAGGTTTGCAGGGTAGAGAAGTGTCAGGAGGATTGGAGAAATGCGTCGATTACCTTTGATGAAATGGATATTCCCGATCTGACACATTCTCATCATGATACGTTAGTCATCTCTCTTAGAGTGGCAAACTGAGAGGTCAAGCGAGTCCTTGTGGATAACGGAAGCACATTAAATATCACCACCATGAGAATGCTAAGAGAGATGGGAATCAAGGAAGAAGACGTGATGGAGTCCAGATCAAGCCTAGTCGGATTCAACGGAGAGTCAAGTCGAACCTCAGGTAACATATCTTTGCCTGTGTATGCCCATGGTCTTAATGTGCAGGTCAAATTCGATGTGGTCGAAGACCTACCAGCCTACAACATGATTCTGGGAACTCCATGGCTGCACCAAATGGGAGCCATCCCGTCAACATACCATCAACTCGTCAAATTCCCAACTCCATGGGGAGTGCAAGTTATCCAAGAGGACCAGAAGGCGGCCAAATCTTGCTACCAGGTTGCCATGAAGCCAACATGAGGCCAATGAACTTCGGCGTAGCAATTAAAGGGTGGCTCCGCTCTGGAAGAGGATGATGACAAAACCGAAGAAGTTGCCATTGTTCCCGAACATCCAGAGAGAGTCGTCCGCATCGCGAAGAACATGCCAGAAAACATCAAAAGCGAGCTAGTGGAGTTTCTCAAAGAACACAAAGACGTATTTGCATGGAGTCACGAGGACATGACATGTATTGATCCAAACATCATAACTCATAGATTGAACGTCGGCCCGTCATTCCAACCCGTCAGACAAAGGAGGAGACGCTTCGCCAAAGAAAGAAACGCCATTGTAAACCAAGAAGTCGACACACTGCTATGAACCGGCAAAATAAAGGAGGTAAGGTACCCTGACTGGTTGGCTAATGTTGTTGTCGTCCAGAAAAAGAAGGGAAATGAGGAGGGCAAACCGGCTAAATGCTGAGTCTGTGTTGATTTAACCAACTTAAACAAAGCATGTCCGAAGGATTCGTTTCCAATGCCGCATTTAGACGCATTGGCTGATGCAACAGCTGGTCACGAAATGCTTTCATTCATGGACGCATTCAGCGGTGACCAGGAAAAAACGGCTTTCATCACAGAAACAAGTACGTACTGCTACATTGTTATGCTGTTTGGCCTTAAAAATGCAGGTGCGACGTTCTAGAGGTTGGTCACTATGATGTTCAAGGATGTGATGGGAGACACCATGGAGGTCTATATTGACGATATGATCGTCAAATCTAAGAAAAAAGAGGATCACATTAGTCACCTGATGGAATCTTTCAAAAGACTGAAGGAGTACAATCTAAAGCTCAATCCGGCAAAGTGTGCTTTCGAAATGTCATTAGGAGAATTCTTGGGGTACATCGTCAGCGAACGGGGGATAGAGGCAAGCCCAACACAAGTACGCGCCATCCTCGACATCGAATCCCCCAAAACTGTCAAAGACGTCCAAAGGTTGATAGGGAGGGTCGCATCTCTAAACCGATTCATCTCAAAATCATCACACAAGTGTCGCCTGTTCTATGACGTTTTGCGAAAGAATAAAAAAATTTGAATGGACGGAACATCATGAACATGCACTTCGACAATTGAAGGAGTACATGACGACCCCACCGTTACTCGCAAAGCCAAGAGAAGATGAGGAAGTCCAACTTTATCTAGCCGTTTTGGAGCATGCTGTCAGTGCCGTCTTGACAAGAGAAGCGGATGGACAACACACACCAGTCTACTACGTGAGTAAGTCTCTAAATGGACCAGAATCCAGGTACGCTTTACTTGAAAAGTTAGTTTTGGCGTTAATTGTGGTTTCAATTAAATTACGTCCTTATTATGAGTCCCATACAATCTGTGTTCGGACTAATTATCCCATGAAGTGAATCATGAGGAAACCTAAGTTGACAGGTCACATGGCCAAATGGTCAATCCAATTGGGAGCTTACGATCTCAGGTATGAACCAAGAACTGCCTTGAAATCCCAAACACTCGCAGACTTTGTGGCAGACTTTAGCCCAAAACTCCAGACCGAGACAGAAGAGGAAACATGCTTGCTGATCGACGGATTGCCCTGCTAAAGATGGACGCTACACACTGACGGGTTACCCTTGATACTATGGGCAGACAGAACGACTCCAAAAAACGCAACCAGACAAACCCCCCTTTCCTTAGTTTATGGCTGTGAAGCGGTCATACCGACAGAAGTAGAGGTGCCCTATTCGAGAACGAAACAACGTGGAATTAGTACATGATTTGGACACCATTGATGAAGTTAGAGAGAGCCAAAATCCGACTACAATCATATCAACAAATGGTGGCTAAGAGCTTTAACAAAAATGTCTGAGCTATAATATTCAAAAAAGGTGACTGGGTTCTAAGAAGAGTATTCGGAAATGAAGCAAGTGGAAAATTCAGTCCCAATTGGGAGGGCCCATACAAGATCGTCGACATTATTGGACAGGAGGCATACCGATTGGAATCAATAGATGGTAGACCGGTTCCTAGAAGTTGGAATGCGGAACACCTTAAACTTTTCAATTTTTAATTATGTTATGTCTTATTTATCATCCCAGACGACTTACTGACTTAACCATCGGAGGGGCGTTGGCCCAAAGCCAACCGTCAGCCTTGACGTTTTGTGATAAATGCAGGACTATGTTAAGCCATAACATCACACAGATATTTAGACGATCTACAAGGGGTATAAAACGTCATTCATACCCACATCGAACAAACATATTTCTTAAACATCAAAATGGGAAGGGTTAGGCTGCCCATGAGAATATCATGGATCACAGTCCTAACAGAGCCCATCCAATACGTTTTGGCCAAAACCTACAAACATATATGACAACGCACGTGCTACCAAAAAATACAAAACTACACAACAGAAGCACATGCTCCAACATAAGGAGATAGTACAAACGACAAATGTAATGCTATTTAAAGTTTTTGCAGGGTATGGACCAAGTTCACACAACCCAGCTCGTCATCTTCAAACGATGGATGGTGTTCCCTTTGCCAGCTGACATATCGACATCAATATGAAAGATGTTGCAAATTTTTGTCATCCAGTCGAACCAGGCAATTTTGGAGGGGAGAAGATAACATGTCAGCTTTCAGTTTTAGTTAAGGAGACGGATTCGATCGAAGGTTATTCCACATAAAGAAGGGAACATTTCGTCAACCGAATTGATTAAAACGTCACGACAAGTCGTTGATGAGTCAATAGACGCAAAGAACCAAGAGGTGAAGGTATAGCTCTTTCAAAATTTCGACAAATTGCCACTTAATGATCCGACCCATGCATCGTACGCGTCAACTTCTCGAAAGGGGGCAATTGTTAGAGCAAGAATCTGACGGTTTATGTTGCATTAAAGAGGGTTTACCACAGAAGTTAATGATACATCCATGAGGCTTAGTGATGGATGTTGTACCGTTTTCTGTACATTATTAGACTCTTTAATATGATTAAGGAAAGTATTAAATGTAATTGACCATCTTTTATGATGGATTTTGAATTCGTCAGTACGGCTGACCAACCCGTCAGTAACGTACAAAGCCATCATGAGAGCATTAATTACCCTTCCTATAAATAGGTTACCCCTCATTGTAACCAGGCAGCTCATATTTGAATGATACACAAGTTTTCACTCTTATTCACTCACTTGTCATCTTCTTCATTGCTCTTGTTCGAAACCCATTCTTCATATAATTTTATTTTTTAATTAGTGTTAGAATATCAAAAATTTGTTTAAACATAGCTCATGTCTTAATACAACACCTTGTTGATTCAAACTTTTCCGATGTGGGATTCTAACACCGCTCCTTACGACCAGACACTTCGTCTGTATCGTGTCGTCAGTCATTTTTTCGTCGGTTCGTCATTGTCATTTTTTTAATTGTGTCGTCATTTTTCATAAGGGGGCTCACACCATGGTTATGGATCGATTTGACTCTGATACCATATTAAGACCTGAGGTTCCATCCTAGAAAGGTCAACCTGATAGAAGGAGTAGCTTATATCTTAATATAGCACTTTGTTCATTCAAACTTTTTCGGTGTGGGATTCTAACCCATCGTCGCTAGAATTGATGATTGTACATAATATAACTAGCATTCTTATAAAAAGATCAATATTATATGGAGTATTATTTATCGATGAGGTTGTAAAGATTATTTATGTTGGTTCATTTTACACTTTAGCTATTAGACGTAAATAACATATCACTTTTAGTTTGATATGTTACTTTAGCTATGTTTTATCTTTTATTTAATTAGTATTTAGATCTATTTCCAAATGATTCATTTTCATTTTCATTTACTCCAGTGCCGCAAAGGCTCCCACCTACAGTGGGGTAAAGGAGATCGGATGTACGTAGTTTTACCTCTGTACTAAAGCACAGAGAGATTGTTTTCGGATGATCCATAGTGAAAATCGCGTCCAAAATTACATGGACTGACTGCTGCTCCATTACAAAGAAGCGCAGACAGTTTAATGAGCCATTTTGCTTTATTTCATCATAATCTCAAGCCAAAAAATAATGAATATTATTTGGCTCCATTGTAAATGATGGAAAATATTTCCAAATGATTATTTGGAAAAATAGAATGATTCGCCTTTTCAACGTACCAAATAGATCAACTTAGGAACCGATATAATAAATGATAAATCGTCATGAAAACAAATTAAATATTTACAACTGACTGAGATGAAGCAAAGTATGTAGAACCAACAACCAAGTGAACCATATATGCAAAATCATTTCATTTAGGCAAAACACTATACTAGTAGAGTACTTGCTGCAGTAATTAACTGCATAGTAATAGCAAGTACAAGTAATCTTACAGACATGGAACATTAAAGTACCCTTTGAGATGCCCATAAAAGAGTACAACTACTCCTGCATTCCTTTGTTTATTACAATAAAACAAGTTTTAATTAGTCATATTAATGAAGACAAGGCCTCGAGAACAATCTCTAGGAACTCTTCATGGGCAGTGAGCTGTGGAAAATGACCTTGGCCATTGACAATCTCAATGGTGGATTCACCTTTGATCTTATTGTGCATGAAGGTGGCCACTGATGTGGGGACAACGAAGTCACGCTTGCAATGGATTAAGGTACAAGGAGTGATCACCTTCTCAAGAACACTCCTATAATCACTCAAGAACACAGTTTTCGCCAACGGAGACCCGACCTCTACCCCCATCCTCTTCAAACATTTTGCGAATTTTTGGACAGAGAGAGGGTCGATCGGGTCGACACCCACGGACGCAAAGCTCGAGCTCCATTCGTCGTAATTCTCTTCTATGTTGATTAACAATTGTTGAACCTCTAGTCTTTCAAACCCCCCTTCGTAATCTTCATGGTTTATGAACCTATTTAAAAAAAGTCACAACTGATTATATTATTCTTCATGTTTTCCAATTGTATGATGACCATCACACTATTAATGATTTTTAAATATACATTACAAAACTTCATGTAATAAAAGCATGGCCATCGCCATTCTGCTTAATAGTTGTCACAAGGAAATTGTTTATTTTTATCAATTTCCATTTTTGGTAAAAATAAGAGTCCGTAGACAACAAAATGGTGGATTGAATTTGATGGTGCCAAAACAAAACTTTTTCTTTCTTTTTAAGGACTTAGGAAACTAGACGACCATACATTCATGTCTATACCTTTTTTCTTGCACTACCTCCGTCCCAATAAATTCTTCCAAGTTTGACTTGGCTCGCAAATTAAGGAAGTGAGAGTGAGAATGTATGGTTGTAGATGTGTAAGAAAAAAGTGAAATGAATGTGAACAACATAAATTATCCAAAAAAGGAAAGTTGGAAGAATTTTATACGACTAAACAACAAAGAAAAGTACTCCGTGTGAGACCAAAATATTTTTCTACCATTCCGACCGAAAAGTGATGGCCAATGCCCTAGACATATTATTAAAGTGTCTTATACCTACTTTTGAAGTAGATTTTCTTCTAAAAAGGAAGTTAGAGAATTATATATTATATTTTGGTATACTCCAATACAAAAGTAAGACAATTATTCAAGGAGGTAGGGATTTTCTTCACGATTTTTGTAAACTGGAAGAGTGCTTGACCGGTTGGTAATGTTGAATTGTTATGTTATTACAGCACATAATATTGAATTGTATTAGTTCATTAACTAATTTATAATGTCATGTTTTGTTGAATATTTTCAGCAGAGGAATAAATCAATAGCTTAGATATGAAAAGAAAATCATTATTTATGATTAATTGATAAAATTCGAAATTATCAACAAGAATAGCATATTGATTTATGCATTTAACTATTTTTTGTTAGTTATTGACTGATTGAAATATCAAAATATTTTTTAAAAGTGTTGTTATGATTCTTTAGACCATTTTAAGCATAAACGTCCTCTAATTAAATTCTAATTAAATTCTAATAATGGTACAACCGATCACATGCATGCCATCTTCGAATTCTTAGCCTAACAATTGATTGGATGGTTAAACTAAACTTTCAGAGGTGTGATCTGGGCCATATACAAGTATATTAGATTTAGGGTCTGGGTTCTAAATGTCATATTGAGGCATCATATTATTAATTAGTATGAGAAAAATAATTAAAATTTCCCAAATTTTGAATGGATGTGAGATATGTACCCAAACTTGCTCATATAATATACTTGTATACTATCGTATATCACAATCTTTATATAAAAAATAATGTTTGCACCATGACTTTATTCATATATGTAATTTTATGGTGTTAAGTACATGATTTAAAATACATAAAACACTTCTATTTTAATATTATTTATTTTACAAATGAATTTTCCGGTCAAATGACGATAATTTTGATCAAATATTTTAACAAAGAATATTTCATGTCATTTTTTATTATAAATACTTATATATATAAATATATTCTGTCAAAGTTTAACAACGAAAAAATCAAAGATGCTAACTAAAAGGGGACAAGAGGAGTATAGCTACTACCTTGGAGAAGAAGCAACAAGGATGAGCCTGTTGAAAAGGTCAGGCCTTTTAAGTGAAGCAATGCAACCAATGATGCCAGACATGGAGTGGCCAACAAAGACACAAGATTTCAACTTGAGCTCCTCAAGAAGGCTGACCAAGTCATCAGCAAAAGCATCATAGGATGAGTACTTTATGGCATCAAATTCCCCATTCCTATCCTTTGTGGCTCCAGAAAAACACCAATCAAAGAGAACAACTTGGAAACTCTCACCCAGTTTTGGAGCCACTTTATCCCACACAGACTGGTCTCCTCCATACCCATGTGCTAAAACTATGGTCTCTTTCCCACTCCCAATTATTCTGGCATTCATAGACAAACCCTTTTGCATCACCATTTTTCTGTCCAACTTTTTGGAGAAGGAATAATGTCCTAGGCAGTAATAATAGAGGAGGAGGAAGATGATATAGATTGAAGGGAGGGCTGAAAGTATGTTTGGAGTGGGGTTCTCAAGACTAGTTTTGTGTGTTTTATATAGGCACAAGATAGATGGTGACTGTATGTGGCTAATTAATGAGACTACAACAGTTAGGTTTTTAACTTTTAATGCATTTTACTTGTTCCAATAAACAAAGAACCCGGTCCAACTTATATATATCATTCAAATCACAATAATGCAGAACAAATTAAACTTGACTAGTTCTATCGAACCAATTCAAGATGACTGCATATAATTATACTCCCTCGGCTCCATTGGATTTTGCCAACTTTCTATTTTTGGTTGTTCCAAAAAACTTTGCAACTAATATGTAGTTCTGCACATTTCTCTCTTCTATGCATGCACAAATTTCAACAACAGAATTTTTACTATTCTTATTTCTCACCTACTTTGCACTTGGCTAAGTCCACCGGGACAAAGGTAGTAATCATAGTATTACATATAAATATATAGTACTACCTCCGTCCCGAAAAGGGTTGCCAGATTGACTTTACTTGATCAATAATGGCAAACTTTGGACAATGATTTTAATTATTATATTTGTATATAATTTATAAATTTTGTACTTTTATGAAAATATTTTGAATAAGGAACAATTTGATATAATTTTCATATGCCCTGTCTACTCCCAAGGCCAAGGCCAAGGCTCCGTACGTACGTCTTGCAATTGGGCCTTGCTGGCCTGTTGGGAACGTACGTCCCCTGAAGTAGGGGGAAAGCATCTCCAGTTGCCCAAGCCCTTGGAGACGTTTGTCTTGCCCTTAGTCGACGCTCCTGACGTGACGGTGGTTTCCTTGGCATGGTTTCCCGCCAATGGGCGGCGACGGTCGTCCCCAAGCATTGGTTGCCTGGTGTCCCGTGGTGCCTTCCAAGTTGCTGAGGCACTCGGTGTCTCCTGACGTACGTCTCCTTATGTGTTGGTTGCCTGCTTAGTACCCCATGAGAGGAGGGCGTACGTCGTCACCGCTTACTCTCATTTTGGTGCAGGAGCCGAACGCCGTCACTGCCTTAGACCACTCTGGGGGTATTTGTCCCTAGACTGTTGGACTTTTGGGGATGGTCGTCCGGTGATCCTCAAGGGTTCATGGGTCGTTCCTATTTGGGCCATTTACCCAACAGTAATAATTATAGAAACTAATTGGGCCATTCCAACACTAATTGGGCTCAAATAATAAGGGAGGGGGGACCACCAAGCATGGCTTGTGCGGACATAAAAGGAGAGGAAGTCTCCTAGAGACAAAAACTACACCCCCATGACCTCATCACCTAAATTATTTTGGGTTGATTGGATAAGTGATACCTCTCCCCTATCCTAACACTATTTGAACCACTCATTGAAGAAGGGAGCTCCAGGGAAGTTCAGTCACAAAGTATAGGCTAGGAGAAAGCAAGAAAGAAAGGAAAACCAACACAAAAAGCTAGAAATTGAGGTAAGAATCTAACTAGTATTCATTAACTAGTTTTATATTCATATGATTTTAAAAAATCATATGATGGATTAAACCATGAGTTCAACACGTTTAAAGGTGTAGAATATTGGTATAAAGTGTTGGTATCTAACTTAGAAGAATTGTGGAATCGATAGGAGTTGAAACCGCCGGAAACCGCCAAGGAGAAGAAGCTGTCCGTAGTGCAGCTGCCAGAAAGCCGCTCGGCTTTTTCCTAGCATTGCTCCTAAGGTTGGATTGTGAAATTTTATGCCTTAAGTAGTCTTAAGAGATGATTTAAGGTAGGAAGGTATGAACTTTAAGTTATACTAGGGGTAGGCCTTAAGGGATACCCAAGGTAAATTGAATAATAAATTGATCGTATATATAGGATTGGCCTACGAGTGTGTTCGGTAGTCCTTGAGGATAGCCGATTGAGTTATGGTAATAAGTAAGGAACATGGGCCTTCCCAACTCTAGAGAGCGGGGTTGGATAGCATGGACTTGCAAAGTGATCACGGGTTAGGGTTGAATCCGAATCGGAGACCTAACTAGGCTCCGACAACGGTAACACATAAGATAGGACCCCGAAGGGCCTGACCTTCCTACGGGATGCTGGGTATAAGTCCAGTGGCGGGATGTTGGAATCCAGACCGAAGACCTTACGGGTATCAGACAGCGGTAGCAAGTCCCGTAGAAACAAATAGACCTACGGGTTGTGTCGTGTGAACAATGAATGAAATGGAATATAAAAAGGGGACTGCGTGCCTACAAATTAATGAATTAACTTATTATAAAGATAATAAGGGGCAAATATGAATTATCATATATATTATGATATCTCTCTATTTGAGAGTCTTAGAAATTGAAACATTGATTATATTCAGTGTAGTTGTCATTGTACTTTTCAAATGCTTCAAAGTACTGATCTCCCCTTCACGGAAAAGGCCACCTCACAGTTTCAGGTAGAACTTGAAGGTTGCTATCATCGCTCGTTGCTTCGGGAAGATCAAGGAAAGAAGACGTGGTTCGTGCTTCTTCCGTTATGTGCTCATGCATATTATTTTCTGGATAATTATTTGGGGGCTTGTATGCCTAAATTTGCCAAGTGTGGCTTGAGCACTTGTATTAATGTTTTCGCTGCTTTAAATGAATGTTTTACATTATGTTTGTTTATGGATGTATTACGTGTGAATGATATTCCAGACGCCTTGTATTGTATGGACGTGTTGGACCACGGTTGACTATTCGTATTGTACGGTGGGTTGCTGACGTGTTCGGTTAGGTCCGTGGCATGACAATTTTATTGGTATCGGAGCCTTAGTCTGTAAACATCATAATGAACCTTCAAAATTCCTTTTTGAAAATGAATTTGAAAACCATGAGCATAAGAAATTTTGTACTTATAGAACTTTTGGTACTTGAGTTGTAATGTCTCTAATTGTTAAGATGGTACCCTTAACAATGGGTATGATGGTGATTTGAGCCAAAAGATGTCTTTAAGTACCTATCTGTCAATTGACATTTGATACGGGTCTAATGACTCATTCTCAATCTCTTTCATAAATGGAACGTACCGGTAAAGTTACTCGACGGAACCTGACTGGTCAGGCTTCGGGGAGGTTCGAACATGGCAGTCGAGGGGCATCGAGGGTGTCTCGGGGATAGGGCCATGCAGGCCACTCACTTACCGTGAGTGACGACCATGTGGAGACGATTGACGAGCATTACGAGTCCGAGGAGGACTCAACTTACCAATCGGGAACCGAACCGGTTGAAACCCCATATGATGGGGAAGATGATGACGTGAGTCATGAAGAGAGCGATGATAATGACGCTCTAGAAAGGATTGAGGAATTGCTTCGGCAGTATCAACAAGATCGCCAAAGACGCCAGGCAAGACGTGCTTTGGAAGGAGCTTCGATGAGATGAAGCCGTGTAAGTCCTAGGGGACGTATAGAACCCCGAGGAGGATGTGCTGAGGTTCCAATAATAAGGATCCCGAATTATATTTAGTAGGCATAAGTACCTACCTTTTAGTTTTTATATTATTTAAAAAGTCTTCAAAATTTCCTACTTGTATGTTTGACATGACAAAATTTTAAAAATAAAAGACTTTTCTTAAGATATTACCGTGAATAGTATCTGAGAAAAGTTTAATTTGTGACTTTTAGCATTAATTAATCATAAAGATATTTGCGGTTAGTTGTGCCAAAGTAATGGTGAGTAACAATTGCAATTTAATTAACATCAAATCTTAAGAATTGTGATATTTGAATGGGCAAAGACACGAGGGATTTTTCTTATTTGGATGCACTCTTAATACGGCATGGTTAGTTCTTGAAAGGGACGTTCGTTCGCTTCCGTTCTGAAGAGCTGGTGAACGGTGCCCATCACAATATATTTACATATACGTACAAAAATGAACTTTTTAAATATTCTTGATTGTTTTATTTTTTCCATCAGTTGACTTTTTCCGATATAGCTGGGAGTAAAGATGTTTTTATTTGGACTGTAATTTGCTGGTCTAGTCTGGTCTGATCTAAACTGATCTGGTCTAAAATAATGCGGAGTAATGATGAGTAAATGGACAAAAATGAAGACTGCTCCAAGGAATAAAATTTAGATAAAGTGTCTAGATGCAAAGGAACAAATGGGAGCTGCCGCCCTTCCAAAAAAAATCTAAATAGGGAGTATAATTATTTCAAAATTTTAATATATATAGAAGTTATCTATCTACATATTAAAATTCAAGGTCTGCACAGATAGAAGGCCATTTTAGATAGTTTTTTATGAAATTTTTTGATAAAATATTTTGTGCATATTATCTTTAGAAAATTTCATCTTAAAATTCACTCGAAAAATCTATAAAATAAATTATTGAAACATATTGTGTTATACTAGTATATACTCCCTCCGTTTCTGAAACAAGTTCCACCTTTCCTTTTCGGGCAGCTTTAAAATTAAGTTTCACTTTCAAACATTTCCTTATTTGGCAAATTATCTACATCAAAACAGTGTCAAACAGTGTTCAAACAGTGCCAAACAGTGTCAAACAGTGTTCAAACAGTGCACTCCACAGTAAAGTCAAATTTATTTTCTTAATATGTGTGAAGTCAAATGTGGAACTTGTTTCAGAAATGGAAGGAGTATATAATCTATTTATAGTATTTCTGTAATAATAATTCCTATTTTGATTAGATGAGATCATGAGATTAATTATACGGTTAGATAAAAGTGATATGATTAGACTACAAATCGATTGATTAGAAAATATTTTTTACATGTCTCTTTCTAAATGAAGACTTTGTATCCCTTATCCATGTCTGTTTAACACAGGCCTCAATTGAGGAGAAATATAGGTTGGATTGGAACTTTCCGCAACAAATGTTTATCGGATTAGATGGAAAAAAACTGGAATTCAGATTACATCTTTAATCTTTGAAATCGATAATGTGTGATTTCATCGCATGCGGTGATTTCTTGTATACACCTCTAAATCAACTTACTCGGGATCTGTTTAGGCTATGTTTGTTAGACAATTTCAGCCAATAATTGGGTGAAATATTTAAAATTCAATACATTTTAA